CCTGCTCACGAAAGCCCCCCTTTTGGGCTCCTTCCCATGCCTCTCTCACTTTCCCGCTCCCTTCCTGGAATCACTTTCCACGTAAAGTCCTTGTACCCGAATCCTTGTCTCAAGGGCCAGGCTTTGCATTGAGGTTACCACAAAAGGCACAATGTTCATCTCTGTCTGCAAGACCCTCCATACTCAAGGCAGTTACCTCACTTGTCCTCAGACACACCAGACCCCTCCTGCCACAGGACATTTGCTCATGTTCTTCCTGCCCCTTAGAACTCTGGTCTTCCCCACCCTGTCTCCTTCTGCCAACTCCGCGTCACCCTTCAAGTCTTGGGTTAAATGCCGAGCCACTCGGAGAGGACTTCCCTGACCACCGTCTCTGCCAGCCACCATCTCCCTCTGAGGCTTCCTCCTCCTCCCCCTTCTCTCCCCCTGCTCCTCCTCCTCCCTCTTCCTCTTCTTTTCCTTAAGGCTGTTTGAGTTTTTTAAATGTTTTGTTTGGAAATAATTTTAGACTTCCAGAAGAGCTGCACCAAACCCCGTTGCTGAAAGTCCAGCTCGTCCCTCACCATGTCAGGCTCGTTCAGGTCCACAGAGGTGTGTCTTTGGCCTTGAAGCTGACAAAATCCACTGTGTATCTACTGTGGGCCAGGTGTAGGGCTGAGGGGTGGGGGGAGAGAGAAAGAGAGGGGGAAACAGAGGCCAACACAGATAAACATAGGCCTAAAGGACAGACACGGAGGCCACGGAGGGAAACATGACAGGCAAGAGATAGTAAGTCCAAGAGAAACACAAAAGGAGACAGGGATGCAGTGACATGGACAAAGAGAGACATACATAGAGAGACAGGGACAGACAGAGACAGAGTCGGGGAACAGGGATAGAGGCAAAGACAAAAAGAGATGCTCACCCAGAAACGGAAAGATAGAGAAGGAGGGAGGAGAGAGAGAGAGTCAGAGATTCAGAAGGAGACAGGCATAGAGATGCACAGAGAGGAGAAACAGAGAGACAGAGGGGCCCAGGTCAGGCTGCAGGTGAACGATTCACTGGCAACTTATCACTGACCCCTCGCACACCTCCATCTCCTCCCCCCAGCCCCAGCCCCAGCCCCGGGGGGCCACATGGTCTCCTGGATTGCAATCCGATCCGGGGTGTGTGTGCACTGCATACCTACTCATGTATGCACGAGTTTAACACTGAATGCCCCAGGAGATGCACTGGGGGAAGGAGGGAAGGAGACATGACTTTGAGCTCCGAGAAGTTATGGCCACAGGACACATCCCATCCCCCATCTGATATGTGTCTTATATCTAACAGCCTGAGGAGCCAGACATCTTCAGTGTATCCCCGCCAGCACCACTGAACGAGGCTCCCCCTACAAACAGTGTGTGTGGGGGGGAATGTGGGTGAAAATCAGGCTTACAATTGTGCCCAGTGTCCCTTCAGGTTAGTTGTGTGGACACAGAAACCCCCTTTTAAGCAAAAAAGGAATGTATTAGTTCATCTAATGGTGGTACAGGTGTTGTGTGGCCTTCAGGCTCAGCTAGATCCAGGTGCTGATGTTTTTAGAACCTGGGTCTCTCTCCGTCACTTTGTTCTGCTTTCTTATACATTGCCTCTATTCTCAGGCAGCATCTTAGTGTCGGCTCCCCCAGAAGCAGACCCTGAGACAAGAATTTGAATCAAGATTACTTATTTTGGCAGTGATTTCGGAAAAAACTGGGAGAGGAGCCGGGGCGGTGGTGGTCAGAGACAGGAAAGGCAGGGCAACTTAAAAGCAGCACGGTCAAGCACATTGTCAGGGGGGCAGTTGGGGCTCAGTCCCACTGGGGTCCTCTGGGAGGTGGTAAGGACATGTGCCCCCAGAGTCATTTCACTGGAGGAGCGAGTTATGGTCCCACCGGCTGTGGGTCCCTGGCCGCCCCCAGGGGTGTTCATTGGCTGGCTCACCCCAGGTTACCAGCACGTGGGCCAAGAAGGTTCTAGTAGCCAGAGGAGCCCTCAGAGGGGGGCCCACGCTGCCGACACCTTGATCTTGGACTTCTGGTCTCCAGAACTTTGAAAAAATACATTTCTAAAGCTCTCAGCCACCCAGTTCATGGCACTTTGTTACAGCAACCCTAGGAAATCAAGACACCCCATTATCAACGGCTGTCTTTGGAGAACCTCTTTCTCCATCTTTTCCCCTATAACCATCCGTTGCTCCTTTATTTAGCAAATACTCCCTAAATATCAACTCTCCTGTTGTCCTCCTTTAGAAACTTGATGGGAGTCATAAAATAAAAACCCCAAATCTCTTGCCACAAAGAGATGGGACTTGCAGAATACAAAGACACTGATGTTTTAAAATTCCAGCGGGGCCAAGGACCGTCCCTTAGGAAAATTTGCAGTTGCTTGAAAGACATGAGAGGCACCAGCACCAGCGACTTCTGGGGGTAATCCCCAGAGGGACAGCATCGGCAGGGGACCACTGCTCAGCCCCAAGCGCCTTCTCTGTCCTTCACTCACTCTTTCAGGGCTGCTGTTCCCTCTGAGTCACTCTCTGTCCCCTCTCAGCCCCTTCCCTGAGTCTCTGTCCCTGTCCCCTCCGTGGCTTCCTGGCCCCCTCTCCCTCTCCAGTCCACACCCTCCAGCCAGCAACCAGAGGCCTCTTTCTGAAACACTAATTGCTTTTTATTTCAGGAGTAATAAGTGAATTTGTTCCCATCACAAAAGAGCCAAGCAGCCCAGAAATATAGAGAGTGGAAATGGGAAAAACAATGAGACGATGCCCTGCCTCTCAACTTTCCTGTGGCTCCCGTCCTCTGTGGCCTTGCACACCCCTCTCCTGTCCTTGGGTCAGACCCTCTTTCCAGACACTCAGCTTGCCTGTTCTCCCTCCCCTTCCCTCCCTTTACCCCTCCATCCCTCCCCTTCCCTCCCCATCCTTCCCTTCTCTCTCCCTCCATCCCTCCCCCTCCCACTCTCCCTTCC